TGAGCTGCCTGGGGTCGGACCACTGCTCCACCCTGCACTGCGCTTGACTACATCATCTGCAATAGCTCATCCCACCCAGCACCCAGCACAGGCCACCCAGCACTCAGTGACAGGCTCAGTTAGGATGTGCAATGAGGGACAGAAGTACCCAAGGGCCCTCTTTACCCAAAGGTCAAGTCCTCATTGGGGGCTGGGTTGCAGAGAGAAACATGGGCTTTATCGTGGGTAACATCTACCAGATCCTTCCACTGTGGGGTTATCTCTGTGTGTCAGTTTCACAGGGAAATAACCTGCATGGAAGCTGGAGTCGGGTTCTATTACTTACTAGAACAGCTCACTGAGACTCAGTTTCTTCAACTAAAAAATGGGGGTGACGATAATAAGCTCCCACGGCAATGGGGATGATATTGTCAGAAATGGAAGGAACCCCAGGCTCAGCAGGGCTCCCTGCTCTGCTCACAGAGCAAACCTGGGGATGAGGGTCTATAACCAGGGCCCAGGTGGAGTCCCTGGACCAGCTCCTCCCTGGAATCTGGTGGTGCCCCTAGAGAAGGCAGGGGATCGAGGGAGTACAGACCCCTTCCCGGGTGCCACAGGCAGCCAAAGGGCTCTTGAGCCCCTGAGGCTCACAGTTTCCCTGAGAAGGCCACACTCTGTGCAACATGTAGTGCCAGCAGGACAGTCTGGGGACCAAGCTGTTTGTCTTGGGCTCAGAGAATGTGAGCTCAGAGAAGCAGGGCCCAGGCAGCACCCATGGCAGTTTCACAGTAAAGGACCTCTGGCCTCTGGCCCGCACCCCTGATGGATGCCCCGAGCAGCCACAGTGTTCCCCTTACTAGGTGCGGTCCTGAGTCCCCAGAGAGGGGCATGAGGTCTAACACAGGCACAAAGAGCCCCAGCAAGGGTGTGCCCTGCTCCATGAAGAGGGTGCAGGAGGAGAGAGGGAGGAACCACGGGGTGGAAAAAGAGTCTGATGTGAAACTTATGATGCGAGCACTGGATCCGGCTCTGAGGGGAGTGGTGAGTGATGGAGGCCACCGGAGCCTGCTGGGCGGTCAGCATGGCAGCAGAGGCAGAGCGGTTCTAAGATGGGGCAGACTCATGATAGGAGGGGCTGTTACTGGGTGATGAAAATGGCACCAACCAGAGGGAGCTCAAGAATAGTCTACTTGGGAGGTACCCAGAGTCTGAGAGATCTGGGACCCCCTCTACCTCAGGTCTGGGGCCGGGGCGGGAGGTTCCCACCCTTGCTGGGATAAGGCAGTATGAAAGTCTGCCCCCCGGGGTCCAGGTGCAGAGTGAGGTTTGCTCAGGAGGTTCTGATTGACTCTTGTCTGGGTTTTAGCTGCGCACGTGAGCGTGTGTGCATGTATCTGTGCATGTGTTTAGTTTATCTGATTATTTTCTCATGATGAACCAGGCTTGACCATGTTTCCTGTTTTCTTTTTTTCCAGGACCAACTCATCTCCATATGCGCCTATTTTTATTCATTGATTTTTAGGTAATTATAGGTGTAGAGGTGATGTATAGCTAAATATCAACATATAGGCTGATAGCATTCTCTCACAGGAATTTTCACCGAGAGCGATGCGCAGTCACAGCTACAAAGCATCTTTCCTGATCCTACCCTCACTTGGTGGCAGCATTCCCAGGTGGGTGGTGCTGGGAATCACTCAGCACCAGGTTGAGTCAGTCTGGCCATAACTATTGTATCTCTGATAGTAGAGAGAGAGAGAGAGAGAGAGAGAGAGACCGCGCATGCACGAGAGCACGTGAGCAATTGTCTACATGTAGAGATGAGATTTCCCGGGCTAGAATTCCAGATGGATTCTGCCCACAGCCCCTGTGTGTCTCAAGATGCAGGATGCAATTTCTGGGACCAGGCCCAAGAGAAGAGAGGACCCATGTGAGATTTCATCATGGGCCCTGCAGTAGTGTCAAGATGAGAATCAAACTTCTTTCCGAACACAGACTATGTCCAGCCTCAGTGCCAGGAGTCAGGGCACAAGCAGGAGTCATATTCCATGGGTCTCAGGCCCCTAGTTAGGGTACCTCTGACACCAGGGCACCAAGGGAGGCAGGTGGGGAGATAGGGACCCATGAGCTGCTCTAGGGGAAAAGGGGACTTGTGCACAGCTACAGTTTGAGGCCCATCCACAGCCCACCACCCACGTGCCCCAGGCTGAGGATCAAGCTGTTGCAGCCTCTAATGGTTAATGTTCAGTGTTACCTTGCCCCCCTGCACTCCAGTCCTCTGTGGTGGGCTGCAGACCCCAGGCCAAGACCATTCATACCTTATACTTAACCAAGTTTCTCCAATGCAGCAGCTGGCAGGGGGAGCTGGGCAGTTAGGCTTCTCCTGGGTCCCCCCGTGGGTTGTGAATCCTCTCCAGGTGCACAATCCCTAGCCTCCAGTAACCATTCCAACCCTGTCAGTTGCCCTGCTACAGAGAGAGCTTGGCCTCTTCTTGACTCCCTCCCCTCCCCACTATTGGTTCCATACCTGTACAGGCAAGGCCTGCGTGGGCCCTTCTTGGGGGCAGCTCTGGACTGCTATGGGACATCCTGATGAAGGGTCTTCTCCATAGGACCCCCTGATGGGCCGCAGGATGGTGGCCCCAGCTGATGTAAGCACAGCACTTCACACTGCAGATCTCAGCCTCATGGCTACCCTGGGAAACAGGCTGTCCCCACTTCCTGGACAAGGATGGTGAAACAGCAATAAGCGGGACTGTGATGCTGGACCAGGCATGTTTCAGGCCACGCTGAGCTGAGGAGGCCCCCTGGCAAGGTCTGGGGTGGGCAGAGTGGGGCTGGGGTCCTTTGCAAAGTCCAGTTCTGCTCTTGGGGACTTTCAAAGCCTGGCTGCCTGACTTTAAGCCTATCTCATTGTGAGTGAATTAATTGTTGTGCAACCTAGAGTGGTGAGACAAGTTAATTACATAATTACTACAAAATGACATGTTATTTCATGACTGCAATATGGTAACTCTGTTGGAAACAATTGTAATTGCCCAGAAACTGCATTCAAGTGGCTCCGTTATCTCTCGATAACCATGTAATTAACTTGCATTACAACTTTATCTGCAGCAAACTCGGAAGTTAGTAGTTGGGAACCTTGGGGTGAGCATGGCCATCCAAGACCTAAGGGCCCAGGGAGGGTCTGGCATTGGGGGCTGTGTTACAATCCGGGAAAAGAACTTGCTTTTTCATGTTGAGCACGGAAAATTCCTTATTAGGGACTCTAGCCCTCAAATTCATTTGCAATCTCGTAGAGATGGCTCCCCAGTTTCATCACACTCACATCACACAAAAGTAGCCATAGCAGCCAGGCCGACTGGCTCTCTGCCTCTCCTCTCTCATACACATGGATGTAGTTCCTTCACGGGACAGGGAGGCCCCAAAGTTGGGAAGTCCTACCTCAAGGTCCTTGGCCCTAGCAACCCCTTCCCATGGATTAGGCAACAGGCCATACAACTCCAGCTTAAAAACATAGCCTCTTCCAAGTACCCATAAGAACCCAGCTGTACTCAAGCAGAGCTTGAAGAAGTGGATTGGCTTCATCAGCCCTGGGCTCTCTTCTGCAGCCAAAATAAAACCAGTCTAGGGAAGGACCAGCTAGTGGCCTGGTGGTGGGGGAAGCCTGTCCATACAGCCTTCCCTGTGACGTTTTGGGCCCAAGGAGCCCCCACTTTTTAAAATACTGTTAAGTGATACCTTTCCAGTTCTAGGCTCTGTGCCTGGCCTTGGGTGAGCCTGGCTCAGCAGGTGGGCAGAAAGCACCCTGGTGTCTGCCTGTCTGGCTATCTTCTGGCCTGAGTTGAGTGCCTGCCAGCTTGCCTGTCTGTCCCTGCCTATCTCTGCCTACATACCTGTCTACTTGTGTGTCCACCTCCCCTGCCTGCCAACAGACGGTGTGTCCACTCGCTGATCTGTCTCTGGCTCTCCAGAGTCGTCACAAGCGGTCCTGTGTCCGCTGGAGGGAACTAGCCTGTCCCGGTCTCCTGGCAGTGTTCACCCTCACCATGACGTGCTCTGTTTGTCTTCCTGGTTCCCTCCTCTTCAAGGGCACAGACTGTGTCTGATTCATGATTCATGCCGGGCCTGGTGCTCACAGCACGGGGCTGAGACAGAGTGGATTAAGGTTTGCTGACTGAATGAACGAAAGCCTCCAGCCTTCGTGGGCTGAGTTACAGGGGAACAGGACTGTTCTCTGTCACCCAGAAAAGCAGAAAGCTGGACCCCAGGTCAGGCCCAGCTGCGGGGAGGAGACAGCAAACGCTGCCTACCACTCTGAAAGAAAAGAGGAGTTTCAGGATGGTGCTCCCACGGTAGGGCTACTCAGTGCTTGAGGTCCTACTGCAGAGGAGGTCGGAGCTAGGTTACTCTCTGGGCAGAGAGAGAGGTCTCAGTGGATGGATTACAACATAAGGACCCAGGAAAGGCAGGGCTCCACCTTCCCTCTTCACCTTGAGGGCCTGCTCAGAATCAGAGTGTATGCTCTGCCAGGGGAAGGGGAGGGCACCCCGGCTCCTGCTTCTCGCTGTGGGGTGCTTGGGGTTGTCCCTGTCCCTCCAGTTTCTTCCCCCTAAAGCCCACCTGAAGAGCCCTGTGCCCTGCTCTGTGTCCGTCCACCCCACCGCCGATAGCCAAGGGGAGAGCCTGCCCACTCCCGAGCAGAGGACAGGGGCCCCGGTCTGTGGCAGTCACGTGACCCACGCAAAGTAACCTCCCCGGAAACATTCATAAGTTTAATCCACGCCAGTAATAAAATCGCATTACATTTCTCATAAAATAAATGTTCCCATTTATATACAGTAGACAGACTGTACAGGCCCAGCCTGGCCCCAGGAGGGGTCACACACAGACGGGCAGCGCAGAGGGAGGGCCGTCCCTCCCGTGGAGGACGGAGTTCTCATCGGCAGGAGAGCGGCTGGCCGGCCAGGCGGGCGGGCGGGCGGGCAGACGGATGGACGGGCCTTGAGGCCAGGCGCCAGGCATTACTGAACCTGCGAGTCAAAGGTGCCATTGAGCTGCCCCTCCTCATAGTCCATCTGACACAAGATCATGTTGTTCTTCAGGAAGAATTTGTCTCCCACACAAAATCTGGAAAATCCAAGCAGGAGAGAGAGGACATGGAGGGGTCCCTGTGGGTCCCAGTGCGGGGTGGGGGCTGCAGGCAGGGGAGGTGGACACATGGGCCTGGAGATCCTGGGGAGACTGTTCCTTGAACTTTCCAGAGGGGACCCCCAAAAATCGCTGGGTCAGCCCAGCCCCCTGCCAGGCCCTGAGGCAGCCTACAGTATAGGACGGACAGACAAGCCTGGGCCCCAGAGGGGTGGGGTTAGAGGGAAGGTGTAGGAATAGCCTCCTCGTGTCCCAGAGAAGCAGAAAGAGAGACACGGACAAAGAAACAGGAAAAGACCCAGGGAGGAAAGAGGTAGCAAAAGATAGAGATGGAAGGGGAGAAGAGATAAAATGGTTCGTTTTTTCCATTCCTCTGTCTCCTCCCCAATTTAAGAGGATGGCTCAGTGAAGGGCACTTTCTTTAAACAGAAGCTGTGGACCTCCTGGAGCATCCTTCCAGGAGGAGGCGACCCTGTCCCACCATCTCTCCTCCTACCCAAAGAAGGCTCTGCTTTGCCCTCCCTCCATCCAGCCTTCCTTAAGTACTGGAGGATTCAGCCCTTCCCTCAAAGATGTCCCCAGGGTGGCTGAGCCTTTACTGGGACCCCAGGGTCACAGGCCTACTCCCAGCAGATCCCAGTTCAACCACCAGGTGGCGATGCAACTTCACTGAGCCCTCCTAGCAGCGGGTCTGGCCAGAGCCCCAGCCGGGCCAGGGCTCCCCGTTGGGTTCTCTGGACATCATCCTCTGGGAATACTTTTATAAACTGCTTCCTGACCTGGGGACTCCTGAGAAAAGGGCCTGCCTTCGGAGACTAAGCCCTCAGCCAGGAGGGCTCTGGCTCCACAGGTCCCTGGGGTTCCTCCTAGGTCTGGGGCACTGAGCAGGAGCCAAAAGACCAGAAAGAAGGCTGGGCTGGAACTATAGCAGAATTGCAAGAGAAGGTCAGCAATGAGGGGCTGTTCCCTGAAGGGATTTTGCCCTCCAGGCCTGGGAACCCTTTCTCATTGGAATATAATGTGCACATGGCACATACCCGGGGAACAGAGCATGTGCACAGAACGCTTGTACATACACACTTAAAACAGTTCCCTTCCTGCGCATGCCTACTCGTCATGCACACAGAGCACACACATACCTCTATTTGTATATGGATACCTACAATCATGTGCATATTCCATCACATGTTCACATGGACATTTAAAATCACATACAGGCACATGACACACTATGCATACACAGTAAGCTCATTCATGCTCTTATCCATTACATTCACACAGAAATGTGCCCTGCAAACATACACATATAGTACTGGAGCACGCACATTTGACTACAAGGCTTAGGCTTATGTAAAACACACATGTTTTACAGGAAAGCATGCACATCGCAGCCACGTGCACACATACCACCCACATTTGCATGCAGGCCTCCATAGCATTTCTGGTCCATTCCAGCAGGAGTTATCTGGGGTCTACTGAGCAGGTTGTGTCTTCTACCAGCCTCACACTCACCTCTGGTTGCAGAGCTGGCAGGCGAAGCAGTCGAGGTGATACACGTTGTCCCGGGCCCGCATCACCATCTCGAAGGCTGGAATCAGCTTGCTGCAGGCAGCACAGTTTCCCGTGGTGCCGAAGAGCCTGCAGTGGGAAAGTGTGCAGAGGGCTCAGGTGCTGGCTGGGAGCTGGGAGAGGGCGGCAGGGGAATTGCCTCCACCCATGGCCCCATTTGTCTCCAATGGGTGACAACATTTCTCTGTTCTTCAGAGAAATTGGTGCATTGCCTCAAGGGAGGGGGTTGTAGGGACCCAAGGTCAGCTAACACTGCCCATCCCTGGGCTGGACTGACAAGGCCTCCTCCCAGGTTCCCACTGGGGCTCCGCAAGCCCTTGGGGCCACCAGAATACTGGGCTGGACCTTGAGCAGGACTTCAGATTCACACAAGCCAGAATATAGAGGCAGTTAGCCAATCATGGGCTGCGTGTCCTCAGGCAAGTCACCTAATCTTTCTGAACCTCATTTATTTCAACTGTAAAACAGGGACTGAAATATACAACCTTCCCATGTTTGTTATGAAAGCTTTATAAACACTCAGTCACAATTTCTATACTGCAGTAAACACCTATATAGTGTTTACTATGTACCAGGCACTGTTGTAAGGGCTTTACAAAGATTGACTCATTTAATCTTGACAACAACCCTATGAGGAGGTCTTTTTCAGCTACCAACTCAACTACGTGACTTACTTAAGTTCCGTTTTCCTTTCCCTGGACCCCGGTTCATTATTCTTTGAAATGGGGATACTGGACTAGATGATCCTGTTCAAAGGTGTTTCTGCAATAGCACTGATGCCTGGCACAATGCTGCTTTGAGACAGACAATCCTTCTTTTAGCAGCTGGTTCCAAAGTTCTAGGGACAGGGAGTTGACACTGTCCCCATGCAGACCAATCCTTGGCTGGACATTTCAATGGTCTGAGCCAGCCAGTCTCCTCCTAGCTTCCTTTCTGCACACTGGAATAGAAAGCCCCAAGTGAGGCAAGGGGGCTGAGAGGCAGGCGGGAGGCCCCTCTAATCCCTGATTTGTCCAGCTAGAGCTCAGGCGTCTGCAAGCGAGCTTGGCTCCATTATTCATCAGTCTGAACTGCCTGGTAGCTCAGATTAAGGCAGACAAAGGCTGGCCCACAGCATCTGCCTGCCAGGAGGGGCCAGTCTTGCCCCCAGTCCAATGAGCAAGCTGCAGAGGGGACAGGCTCTGGAGAGCCATTTTCTGGGGCGGAGAAGCTCAAAGAATCCCCACCCCCATTCTGGCCTACCTGGCCCCAAAGTCATTCCGTGGCCTCTGCCAGAACCCAGGAAAATACCTGCAGGCTCCAGGAGCTGGCAGGGCCCCGAGTGCTTGTGGGTGCTTGAGCACTGCTGACAAGCCCACCCTGCACTGAGGCCGACCGTCTCCAGGTCTCACCGACCATCAGATGGCCTGCCGCCTCCTATCCACCTGGGAGGTTCAGCACCCCCGCTGTGTCCTAAACCTCCACACTTAGATGCCCTGTCAGGTCATTGAGGGGTGAGTCCCCAGGAGCATCCCTTCCTGAACCCCTCCTCCTGGCCTCAGTCTCTCTCTTCTGGACCCAGCCAGGAGCACTGAGTCACAGGCCCTGGTACATCACATCACTTAAACAAACAAACTCCTGCAACAGGCAAAAACTAAAAGAGAAGGTACAGGCACATATACCTTAGACCCTTTGAGTCTACACAACATATCCACACCTGAGTAGAGGGAGTCCCAAGAATCCCTTGCCCCAGCCCATTAATTAATGAGATAGGCCTTCCCCCTCACCCCACCCTCCCCTGCCCCACGCCCGGCCCAGCAAGGCACAGACACCACCCAGCAGCCCAAGTGAGAGCCAAATGCAGATGCTGGGTCTCAGCCAAGGCCCTTGCTCTGTGGCCTCCTTCCAGCCTTGTTGATGTCATGGATGGCCTAAGGGAGGGTTAATTGGGGGAGACAGCCCTGGGGAATAGGATCCAGGCTGTGAGGGAGGGCGGGTTAGAGCTCTGGTGAGTGCAAAGCAGGAAGAGTTATTCTTTTCACCACTTCACAGAGGGGTAAACTGAGGCTCAGAGCTAGTGCAAACTCAGGTCTTTCAGCTTTGATGTCAGTGGTCCTTCTCGGGGGTCTGGTTACCTGTCAAGATACCCAGGCATTGGAGCATCTAATCCCAGGACCCTCCTAGGAAAGTGGGGGGAGCTGGGCCCTAGGGAGAGGTGGGAAGGAGGTCCCAGGGCAGTCAGAGCTTTCCCACCTGTCCGGAAGCCCCCCTGAGACATCCCCTCCCAAATCCAGGGATGGAGTGGGTCAGAAGCACCTGCCAAAAGCAGGGCAAGGACAGGCTGGTGTCCTTGAGAAGCTCATCTCAGGTGCCCATGGTTACAGATGTCTGCCAGAACCTGTGCTGGCCACTGGGTCCCAGGAGTTAAAGGCATGGACCTGTCTTGGGGGGCTCTGTGGGTGCAAGGGCAGAGGCAGAACCATCAGGGATGAGCACACACTCAGGCTGTGCACTTCCATCACTGGGTCTATAGCTGGGGCAGGGCCATGCTGGGCCCAGGATGGGGCTCTCTGAGCAGAAGCAGCAAGCAGTGGGACGTAGCCCACCTCAGGTAGTCTCGGCGGCACAGGATGAGGTTGGCCTTGGTGTAGAGGGTGGAGCCCACCTCGCCCAGGCGGCAGTCACAGCAGGCACACTTGAGGCAGTCCTCGTGCCAGTACTTGTCCAGGGCCTTCAGTAGGTAGCGGTCCTTGATCTTGCGGTTGCAACCAGCGCAGCCCTTCTGCTTCCCTTTGGGCTGGACTGACAGCATCGGTACGCCTACAGATGGACAGACAAGAGACAGATGGACAAGGGTGGGCCCTGTGGCTCTGTGCACTCTGAGAATGGGAGCCCACTGCTGCTCCCTGCTGTGCCCCTCCAGGATTGGGGTCCGTAGGAGCCCTTATTTTTTTCACCAGGAACCTCCTCCCCGGTCCTGGGTCCTGTCCTTTGGGCTGCATGGTACAGCCTGTTCCTCTGCCCTGTGAAGGTCCACCCAAAAGCTCCAGGCAGCACTGGGGAGCCCCACGTCTGCTCTGCTGCAGGGCACACACTCAGCCCGGAGGCCTCGCCCCCCGAGTCGATCCCCACTGTAGCAACCACTGCCCCTCTGCAGGCTGAGACGCAGGAGGCCTGAAGTCTCCCTCACGCAGCCACTATCCCATTGGCTCTCTCTGCAACCCTAAGAATGAAATTTCCTAGTTGGCAAGGGGTCCACTAGAACTTGCACGTCTTTTTGCCACCTCAGGACAGCTTGTGCATTTATCCCAAAAAGTTAGGCTACAGCCTCTTGGTGTATTCATGTAGAACCATGGAGGTGTCAAGAAGAAAGTAAGATGCCCTTGTGACAGTCCCAGGAGGGAGCTGGAGCTCTGGAGGCAGGTGTGTGCTGCAGGCAGCTGGGCCCAGCCTAGGCGGAGCCCTCCTCAGCAGTGCTCCTGGCTGGAGTCTGGAGTCGAAAGTCCCACCTGCCCTGGCCCGAGGGAGGGGAGGTTCCCAGCCTCTCGATCTTTGGTTCTTCCCAAAGATCTCTGAGCCACTGGTCCCCTCCCAGGGCCCAGAGAGCTTCTCAACATACAAGAAAGTGGGATCTAAGTCTGGCATTCACCAGAGGGAGGGGCAGCCCTCCCAGCAGACAAGTGTAGGCATCGCTCACACCCCACGCACACCCACACCCCATGCACACAGGCACAAGGAGTGACCACAGGGAGGGACAATTGAAGAGGAGATGGGGACAGACATCAGGTGCCATCTGGGAACTTGGACATCCACGTGGAGCCCTGAGGCTTGAGCCCAGTGAAGACTAGACTTGGTGGGGGACGCAGGGAGTCTCAGGGCCCAACCCGGGGGCAGTGGAGGTGCCTGTGAGCCTCTCGTGAAGCGGGTGGAGATGGGGTACTCCTGCCCCGGCCCAGGCTCGGGTGGATGGAGGTACTGACTCTGGAGAGAATGGCCCTCCCCTCCTTGCCTCCCTGGCTTTTTAGCCTGCTCATGAACTTTGCCCTCCTTTTGGCCCCATCCTCCCCGAGGGGTTCCCGCACTCTCCGGGGCTCTGGGTTCAGCTCCCGTCCCCTTCCTCCGCTCCCCGCTGCCCGCAGCCGAGTCTGAGCTGATTCCTTGGTATGACTCTTCCTCAGGCTGAGCCTCCAAGGCGCCTCAGCCTCAAAGTCCACAGGTGTCAGGTCAGATGGGTCTTCACATTTCTTCTAGATAAATGGTCTCATTCTACAGATGGGGAAACTGAGGCTCAGACTGTCCAAGGGGCCAGAGTAGGCCACCAACTAAGCTGGCCCTAGGAGCCCTTCCTTCCTCCTGTGCTTTCACAGCCTCATTGTCTCCTCAGGCTTCTCTGGGAGAGGTGGTCGCCCCTGGGCCCAGGGGACCCTCCAGAGCCCAGAAGCAGCAGGACCGGGGAGGGCAGGGAGCAGGCATCGCAGGCTGCTGTGGGCGCCCTCCTCCCTCCCTCCTCCATCCCTGCAGGGCTGGCTGTTAGCTGGGAAGTTCACTGCCTAATTTCCTTGATGCAGCTCTAAAGGTTAATTGCTCTGGGGGAGTGACAGGGCTCAGGATGACTGTCCTCAGGCCTGCCTGTGTCTCCTCTGGCAGGGTTCAGCCCCGTCACAGCTCTGAGGAGCCCATGGACGCCAGCTTGGGACCAGGTACCCCTGGGAGCTAAGGGGGACCTGAGGGGCTTCTTTCAAGGCCTGGTCCACAGGTGTGCCCGAATGGTGGAGGGGTTAAGAGAGCTAGGTGTGGGGACATCTGGGGGTCTCAGGGCGGCATTATTTTTCTCTGGAGCCTGTGGAGGGAGCACCCAGCCAGCACAGCTACCAGTTTGGAAAATCTCAGGCCAGGCCTCCAGTATAGACCCCAAGGCTGCTTTCCCCTTACTTACCTGGGCTGGCAGCAGGCCTGCCCCCCCTTCACTTGTGCTCTCATTAGGGGCGGAGGGAGTGGCTGGAACATCTGTCCATCCCCAGTGATATACCCCGCCCACTAAATTATACCCAAAAATGATGCGGGATCTCAGCACTAGGAGCATCTGCCCTCTCTGTCTTACCTCTGGCTTGGGTCCTGGGCGGGATGCCCGGCCGCTGAGCCGGCGGGGCCATGAACTACTGCACTAGCTGGCACCTCCATCACTGGTGGGACATGGCACCTAGAGGACCCAGGGAGGCCAGGAGGAGCAAAGCCACAAGCTTCCCCAGGTCCCCCGCCTCCTGCCTGTGCCCAGGCTTGGGGCCTGGCACACAGCAGGTTCTTGGTAGGACTTGGGCGCCCTGCTCTAGGGTGTTGGACTCTGCTTCCTGGGCCCTGGAGAACTCTTAAGAAGCCATGCAGCTCCTGCCAGAAGTCCACCGAGACACGGAACACCAGGGCCAGCCTGGCAGGGGAGGTCTCACAGTGTCTGGGGACCTTGAGCTTTCTCTGCCTGACAAGGCTGAGATCCTGGGAGAATTCTGACTTACCCCTCCCTCCTTTATGATGCCCTGTGCTGGGGTGGTCTCACTGGGCTAGTCCAGAAGACTCGAAAACACTCCTGGAAAGGTAAGGAGGCTCTAAGAGGGCACCTATGGGCTCCTGCTCCCCTGAGGGTCCAGGCTCTCCCTCCGCCCCCCTGCCCCCCCGCCCCCACCTCCTCTGCCCCCACCCAGCCTGCCAGTTGGCCCTGTAGACACCTCTTTCCTCCCTTCCTCCCCTGCCTGGCTCTGGGAGCTGAGCCTCAGGCCATGCACTTTCCATTAAGGAGATAGCATCCCTTTGCTGAAGTCCATTTGGGATCCATTTTAGTGTTATCTAAAAATCAAATCTACATGGTAATCCTTTTAATGTACTCCTGACTTTAGGAAAAAAAAAAAAAACAGGTTCGTGCTCCTTCAGGAAAGGTTTTAAAGCATTACCCAGTAATTACTACTCACCCATGAAAACACTGATATTTTACAATGGATGATGTTTGCACTGGCCTGTACACACTGGCACACGCTCAGACACACAGAGGGAACCTGGCAAAATAAGTCAGTTCACTCAGCCTGTGAGTCCCTCAAACCTCACGGTGTGGAGGGGACATCCGAGGGGAGATAGGCCCAATGCCTGCCCTGCCTCTACCCTGGGCGGGCTGGCAGGGGACAGAGGCAGCCTCCCAGTCTGACTCATCCAGCTGCCAGACACTTTCCCTCAGCTCTTTCATCTGGGCAAAAGCCAGGCAGTCCAGGTGACCGGGAGGGACTGCCAGAGGTCATTCAGCTCTTCCTGCACCCTCCTCTTCACAGGGCCTCCTCCCCAGGTGGTCTGCCAGCCTGACCAAGTCCTCAGCAGTTCCTGCCCGCCCATTGCAGGCCAAGCTGCCTTTCAGATCCTGCAGGTGGACTGCTCCAAACTGCCAAGCCCCTTGGCTCCGGATCCCACCAATGCCTCTGGCTTGGACAGGAGGCTGAGCCCGGCTGTGGAGCACTGCTGCCCCCTCCCAGTGAGCTCCTCCAGGGCCCGTCCTCCTACCCAGCATGCCCACCCCACCCGGCCCCAGGTCACTCCAGGCCTGCCCTGTGGCTCCCCTGTCTGCAGCCATTGGCAACTCCACCAGGCATTGGAGGCCCCCTCTCACATACCAGCATGTCCTGCTTGGCACTGTTGGATCTGCTCCCTGCAGAATCCTGGAATAACATCCCTCTCCGTCCCGCAAGTGGATCTTGTTTGCTTCTGTCCCAGGGCTCTCACTGCACAACTGCTCCAGGACACAGTGCCTTGTCCTGTCCATCCCACTCTCCCTCAAAGGCCAGAGTCCACAGTGGGCTCGAGGCAAAGAGTACAGACCTTGAACTCAAAGAGTCTGCCTTCTAGTATGGGAAATGCCCCAAGCAGCTGGAGGGCCTGAAGCGAATCCCGGCACCTTTCTGACCTGCTCTGTGAAATAGAAGCAGTCACGGTCTCTTCCCACACAGACTGTGGTGAGGCTAGAATGAGGTTACGCATGTGAAGCCACGGCACAGAGCCTGGCGTTCTGGAGGGACCGGTGAACGGAGCCGGCGGTGCTGCTGGAGCGCACTCCAGGTTCCCTGCCTTCCCCGTTCTGTCACTTGTTTCCTTTTTGTCTCGAGAGAATTCCAAACTTGCAGAGAAGTTGCAAGAATAGAAAGAATTCCTGTGTATTCTTCACCCAGATTCCCCTAAATATGAACATGTTACATATTTACTTGATATCTATCTGTAATATTTTTCCTGACTCATATGAGAGTTGGTTTTAGAGATGGAGCCCCTGTACCCTTTAATACTTCCCAAAAGCAAGGACAGTCTCTCAAACGAGCATAGCACAGTCATCAAAACCAGGAAATTATCATTGACATAATACTATTATCTAATCTTTAGACCTTATTCAGATTTCACCAATGCTCCCAAGTATCTTTTATGGCAAGATACAATTCTGGATCATGTACTGCATTCCGTTGTCAAGTTTCATCTACTTAAATCTGGAAGAATTCCTAAGCCTTTGTGCTTCAAGACACTGACATTTTTGAAGACCAGTTATTTTATGAAATATCTTCCAATTTGGGTTTATCTGACATCTTTGATTGAATGACTTTAACTCCTCTGTGCCTCAGTTTTCTTTGTTATAAAATGAGTGGGAAAATAGTAGTCATCTCATAGAGTTGCCATGAGGAAGAAAGGAGTTAATATACGTGTTTAGGACTAACTGGACCTGGCAGTTGAAAGTTAGCTCTAATTAGTGTCATCCCACCTCATTCACGGGAAAGGATGACCTTAGTCACAGCTCCATCT